CTTTTCGAGTCAATTTGTTTAATAAAAAGCTCCTATGCAGGTAGCTTGTATTACGAGGCCATTTTATGGCCAGTGACACGAGCTTGACATGAGTCGACTCGTGGGCTAGCTCGGGCTCGAGCCTACACCCCAAAAACAGCGAACCAAATTGAACCTTGATTAGTATGTAAAACCTCGACGCTTTAGGGCCAAAATTGTGTTAACTGTTCTTTAATTATCATGTGTAATAATCCCTTGGCATATCTTCTCATTTTCCACGCTAGGTTTCTACTATTCCCAGTTTTCAAATTCTCATTCAGTATTTTTTTAGTTTTCCATTTCTAATCTTTTTTTAACCACTTGATGTAAAGATGAGTCAAGATTACATAGTTGTAATGTCTGTTGTATTGGTTTTGATTGCAAGTGTGCCCGAGAGAGTACACCTTCATTTGGACAGTGCCCGTGTCATCCATTTTGGATGCCCATATCCCTCAAGTGCATCCACGTTTGTATATTTACTTGATTATTGTCTCATCATTGACCTTAAACCTCACATTATACACATCAAAGCTCCATGTTTTAACTGCCTTTTGAAACTGCTCGACATCCCTAAATAGCTGATCAACCTCAAATGTGGATTACTCATATCTTCATCGGCGCAAAACTTTGGAAAACATCATCATTGGATGTAATAGTTAGACTAAATCTCTTTAGAAGATTAATATTCTAAATCGTCAACCTTATCTCTATCTTCGACTTTATGCTCAATCATCTCATTCACTTTACCCACATTCAAACCTATCACATCTATCACATTAAGTTCATAGGGAATGTCATACCCTTTGTTGTCCAACTCATTCCTAGAATAAATGAAATATAGGTCCTCGTTTGAGCCGTAATTTTGCCTATCCGTGGTACTATCATCACTTCCAAACTCATTGAAATCCAAAACTATTTCATACTCTACAAATTGAATGTTCAAGGTTAAGGAAAAAAGGCAAAGTAGAACTTGAATAAACAACATAACTAAGAAAAATTTGCAAAATCCGCCATACAATGTAATATTGTTAAGGAGAAATTGACCCCCAAAATTTCAAAATACAATCTCAAATTGAAAAGAAGCGATTTTATAACCATAAACCATACAACAAAAGCATGATTCCAACAAAAAAATATCAAGTTTATAGTAGACACCACATGCGAATAAAGCCAAGGAAATACAAAAAGAGGTTGAAATTTACCTTCATGTTGTCCCTCCATGTACGTGATCTTTGAATACTGAATAGGTGGATCGTGCATGGGGATGATTTGCAGATTTGGAATTATGGTTATCAATGAATTTGGGGGGAAATCGACTTGGGATTTCAAATTTTTCTTCTTGTTTTGTTTTGTTTATGATGTTTCAAATGGCTTTGTGATTGTTTTTTTTTTTTTTTGCTTCTCTTACATTTGGCACAACATTTATGTTGACTATGACAACCATAAAGATTTGGCGTATTTTTTTTAATGGGTGAGCTACCACGTCAGCTAGTAAGGTAACAAAATTTTGAAGATGATGGGTGGAGTACTAACGGAAAAGTTCAATAAGCACCGTGAAACGATTTAACGTTTAGAGAGCAATCCGTGACCATGTTATAAGTTGAATGATTTTTTAAGTATTTAACTCCTTATTTGGGTAACAACAGAAATTATAACTAAAACCATAACTTTTATGTAGTGTATGCTATCAACACTTAAGAGTATCTCCAATATACTTTTTAAAAGTGAAATGTTATTTATTTTAAAGAGTCAATCCATAAAAATATGATCCAACAAACTATTCAAATTAACATTTTATAACAGAGACTTGATTTCGTTCTCCAAGTTCTAAACTCTCAAAAATAACATTTTAAAACATAAACTTGATTTAGTTCTCCAAATTTGAAGAGCCAAACTTACTCTTCATAATTAAATACATTCAAAATATTCAAATATTCAATGTTTCATGTATAGACCCCAATAAAATAGTTATATAAAAAAACGAAAGGGAATATTATAATGATTTGAAGGGAAGTTGATGAAAATAAAATAAAAGAAAAAATAATAAATATATGTTGAAGGAGTAAATTTCAGTGTTGAAGATAAATACGTTATTGAAGAAATTTTACTCTTTAAATTTATAAATACTTTTTAAATTGTGAAATATAATCTTTAAAAATATAGATTCTCTTGGAGAGATAGTCTAAAATTGATTGTGCTACATGTACTACTGTACATAATGGTTTAAATATAGATGATGTGGTAAAATATGATTGTATCAGAATTTTTTCAATCAAATAAAAAAATAAATAAATTCCTACTCTTTGTTGGACATCTTATCCGTATGTAAACTTTTATATAAATCCATTATATACAAGAAGAATTATTTGTCTAACATTAACATTCTTTTTCTTAATTTAATAGAAAATACTCTGAGGGTCCGTTTGATTGCAAAGATGAAATTTGGGTGAAAAGAAAACGAATTTTAGGGAACTGAATTGCCTAAAAATTATTTTCTTGAGAATTGTCAATTAATAGTGTTTGATTGGTATAATTTTTCACTTGAAAAATGTTGAAATTAAAGTGTCTTTTGGTATTCGTTTAACTTTGTTTTTCATAAAAATTGTCAATTTAAGGGATATCCATTTCTACAATTCTTCCTAAAATTTGTTTCTATTGCCCAAAAAAAGGGATCCAAAATCATTTATATTTTGGTAATCATTTGGCTTTGTTTTATATAGAAATTGTCAATTTAAATGATATCATCTTTTACAATTATTCCTAAAAAAATTTGTTCCCATTATAAAAATAAAAAATTGCCTGGAAAATAAAATGACACCAAAATCATAAGAATTTCAATTCCACCTAAACAAGGAAAACAAATCACGTGCCCTAAACCTAGAAAATGAATTGCCAAGAAAATATTAGCTATCAAACAAGCCATTAGTTGGAAAATGGTTGAATATTTTCCATCTTCCATGGAATTGAAGTGCTATCAATCATAGCCTAATTGACAGGACTTTAATATTAGTGTACCACTCACGGATGTACATCAAAAAATATTATCGCTATATCTATAAATGTAGTTAATTGTTCCAATGTCCACCAAACTTATATCAATATTTTAAATTGCTCATTAAATTTAAAATGTTGAGTTTTTGTTATTGAACATTTGAAAACGTTGTACGTTACTCACTGACATAACTTTTGTCTCAAACCTCTAACGGAAATTGATGACGCGATTGATGGAATGCACATGTGGTGCCCCGTCACACTGTTAAACTTTGAGATGGTTAAATTTTAAAAAATATTTTCTATTGCTAACTAAACTTTGAAGTGATCAAATTTTGGCCATTGAACTTTGATATCGTCGAACTTTAGTCACTAAACTTTGAAAAAAGGCCTTTTATTGCTCAATATAAATTCAGATTCAATTACGCCCTCTATTTATCTCTCTTTAAAACAAATTTCTTTTTATTTTCATACTCATTTTTAATAACACATTTATACAATAAAATATTTTACACGTAATTATTTTTCAACTTTTTAACCATCCATTCTCCAAAAAATACTATTTAAAACTTTTTTTTTTAAATAATGGCCATGAAACATGGGCTACATTTTGTTGCTAAAATTTGAATTTAATTTAATTTTAACAATAAATAATTGTTCATTTAATTGCAATTAGTAGTCGCTTTCTTTGCACAACTTTGCAGAACATTTTCTATTGTTCACAATAAATTTGGATTTAATTAAAATTCGTTGTTAAGATTTGAATTTAATTTTATTTAACAACAAATTCATTTTGTGCTTCGTTGTAAAATTTAAATATTATGATGATGATAGTTTAAAATTCTACAAACATAAATTAAAATTAAATTTAACTATCGTGTAATTGGATAATCATTCATAATGGTATAGATAATGCTCGCCAAGCTGTTCAAAGGAAGTGATTACTAATTGCAATAAAACACACAATATATTTATTGTTAAAATTAAATTAAATTTTTAATTTTAATAATGAATTTTAGCCCCTGTTTAATAGCTATTTTTTAAAAGAAGAGTTTTAAACAGTGATTTTTTAAAGAACGCGTGGTTAAAAAATTGGAAATAATTTTGAGTTTACGGGTAAAATATTATATTGTATAAATATGTGATTAAAAATGAGTACAAAAATTGAAGAGTTTTATTTTAAAGAGCGATAAAAAGAGACTTACTTGGGTGTTCCTAACTAATATTTTAATGAATTTTAAAGGATTATAAATTCTAATAAATTTTGTGGATTTGAATAGATTTTTAAAAATTTCATAAGAATTTCATCAAATATGGTAAAATTTCAAAAAATTTGTTTATATGTATTTTTAAGCTTGAAATACATCTAAATCTTTTAAATCATTCTATTAATGAAATCTTTATAAATCTACTAATTATTGAGTTTATCTAGATTTTAATGAATTTCATTAAAATCTCAATAGGGGATACTTAAATTTTAATGAATTTCATTAAAATCCAATAAAATCTAAATTGAAGACAATCTAAATTTGAAATGACTTATAAAATTCATTATGATCTCAATTGAGAACACCCGCTAATTAAATCCAAATTTATAGTGAGTAATATAAAAACGTTTTAAAAGTTTAGTGGTCAAAGTTCAACTTTATCAAATTTCAGTGGTCAAAATTCAATTATCTCAAAGTTTAATGAGCAATAGAAGACATTTTTAAAATCTCAGTAGATAAAATTCAAATATCTCAAAATTTAACGATATAACCAGGCACCACATATGCATTCCATTAATCACGCCATCAATTTTGTTAGAAGTTTAAGATGAAAGTTAAGTTAAGATGGAAGTTAAATCATTGAGTAATGTACAACGTTTTTTAAAATTTAGCTGTTAAAATTCGACATTTTAAACTTTATTTCGAATATATACTTATAGGTGACCAATTGAACAATTACCTCCTATGAATATAGAAAATCATTTTCTATTGAAACTCAATTTTATTTATTTATTTATTACCCCCACTAAATCAAGTTAGCACCCTTTACGCTCGTATTCTCCCTTTCTTTGTCTTTATCCAAATGAAATTAAGAATCAAATCAAATCCAATTTGAAATTATAGGGTTTTTCTCAAGAGGAAAATAGTGTAGAAAACCCAATTTTGTGGCGAAAGGCCGGGTGTATAAGCCTAGGGTTTTTGAGTTGACAGATCTGTGTGGCTGAGTCTAAAAGTGAATCATAATCCTCAGGATTCACCATGTTTTGGCACATGGGCCTCCCCACTGCATCACCAGTAAGTGGTTTTATTTTTCTTGAATATAAATTTTGTGATTTTTGTGACTGGTAGTATGGATCCAAATATTTGGGCATTCTTCTGGGGTACGTGATGTAATTTTGGGAGGTGGTAGAAGAGTGAGGTATTTATTAGAACTGGACTGTATCTGTGGGGACAATTGTATAATTAAATTTCTCGTTGACCGTTATGCTTTGGCGGAATTGTTATATTGGTTAAGTGTATTGGAAGCAATGTAACAGTATTTCGAATAAGTAGACACAGTTACCGTCTAGGAAGGATGACTGGTGCAGCTACTCCACATGTTTTTTAATAAAAACCCTTCCATGTTATATTTTAAAGGATTTTACTATTTCGAAAATCTGTGCAAGCGGAAAAGTAATGGTATTAAAATTATATCAGCACAAATATTGTCTTATTTGAAATTGCATTGAAAATCATTTGATTGGATGAAGTATTGGGAAAGATTTGAAGGATTCGTATGCTTGTCTATTTTATTTTTTCGTCCAACTGGGAATTACTCAAACAAGAGTTCTTTTGTAGCAAGATTGAGTAGTAATGTTATGTAGATTGTCAAAATATACATTATTTTCCTTTCTTTTTAACCTCTCCTGCTGCATGGAGTCAAATTCTTCTTATCTTTATGGTTTATTAAACGAAACATGAATCTTGCCCATTCCTTTCAATCCCAAGCGAACATGTTTGTGATTTTCTATTTGTCTTGTTGACCCCGATCGAGTTCTGACAACTTTTGATCTAATTGTTGGTTTCTGAAAAATTTTAATACTTATATACATATTCATCGATGTTTTTGTGGGAAGCTCTTGTAGATTGGTTGAACAAAGTGTATCTATAGTTGCGTATGTATTGCTCCATAAATATGCCAGGCTGAATATAACTTTTATTGTGTTCACAACTACCTTAAAATGCTCCATCTGAGCTTTGTACAAAAATTTCATACGTTTTAAAATAAATATAACAAAATATTTTATTCTTTTCAAGAAATGCAACACTTATTCAATAGCAATAGTAATTAATCGTTGTTTTTTGAAGGTCAATCTATTCATTTGTATAGATAATACTTTTCCTTGGCTCACTAATAAGAGCCTACTTGAGCCCCATCTTTTTTCCTAAAATGAATTTTGGAATTATATTTTGATGGAGAATGTGTGGCTAAAAAATAATGAAAATTTTGGACTATGATGCTTGGTCTCGGGTATGGATACGTATCTAAGTGTCAATTCTTCTATTTTTAAAAATTTAGGGTACGGGAACATGGTTAAAAACAGTCCAAATTTCGGCTACGGGTACGTCTTTCAAATTTCAATTTTTTTTTTTTTTAAATTTATGAATACCTTGAAAGATACTTTTAATTATTTTTAGATTAATTATTTACTGAACAATGACCAAGATTTGGGGCTTTTTTTTAAATAATACTGGCCTTCTATCTTGAGCACATTTCATTTACGAAATAGTACCTAGGGGAACTTGACCCTAATCCTCTATGAAAAGCTATTTCTGTCTTAGTGGGCCTCTACATCTTGAGCCCATTTCATTAACCTGACATTAATCCTCTGTTAAAACCTTATTTCTCTCTTCCCTCATCTCATTGTGCCACTTCCCCGCCAACTTCTTCCCATCCAACATAGAGAAGTCAAATGGGTCGTATAATTTGAGCATAGCATAAGGAAGCAGAATTTGTATTTAAGTCCCACATCCATTATCGCAAGGGTCCTTCCCAATTCTGTACTCTAGCATAGGCAAGTGCGCGACTCATTTTCTTTTCCGGTGGCCGTCGCAACCAGCCTTCTAGGTTGCTGTGCTCGGTTGATTTTTGTCGTGTCCGCCCCATATCCCATACCCGTAATAGTGTTGTATTGGGTCGACACTCTGGCTAGAATGGAGAGTCTGAGTATCACAAGTTTTGGGTTTGTGTGTAATATTATTTTATTGAAGAATGTGTGGTTGAAAATAAGGAATGATAAAAATGTACTTTGAAAATAATGGGGATCAAACAAGGGCTAAATCACCTAATTAAATTCACTCAGCATTTATTAGTTTGAGCGTTCTGAAAGAGATTTAGTGTCATAATCATATGTACCTCTAGCATCCACTGCAATGTGCGGATAAAATGTTATTTTTTATGCATATTTGTGTGCTCCTCCTTTTTGTTATTTCATGGTGACTTAAGTCCTGTCTTGAATGTGTTTGATATGTTCCATAAATATCATGTGTTGTTTTCTGAGTAATTTATTAGGTGAAAGAATATTTTTTAATTTCAGGTGGAGACCATTTTAGACAAAGAAAATTTTACACTGGAGGAACTTCTGGATGAGGATGAGATAATTCAAGAATGTAAATATGTTAATGGCCGTCTTATTAATTTGTAAGCTCTTGATTCTCTCATCATGCTCAAACTTTGAAGATAATTGCTTTTAATTCTTTTATATTCCACTTAAAATAGTGTAGTTCTACTGTGTCATGCCTTTAATAAATTTCTGTGTCAGAATTCGGTCATGAGAACAAATTTTCGTACACTGTTGAAGTAATTACTTTTTGTGTTTTTGACCTGGAGCATGTCTTATGCAAGAAAACATAATCTCCTTTCATTTTCCTTTTGACAGAATATTCAGTAGCTATTGACCATCATAAACTAATTTTATGCAAAACCATCTTGCAGTTTGCAGGAAAGAGCTCAAATTGAGCAACTAATTAGATACATAGTGGAAGAAGCTCCAGAGGATGCTGAGAGACTACGCTCGTTGAAGTAAGTGTGGAATAGAATAAGTACATGTCTACATGCTAGCTTGTGGGCACTACTTCGAGGAGCTGTGATAGTTGTATTTCAGAAGAGAAGCTTCTTATTAGTAACTTTACTTGTTTCTGTGTGTAGGTTTCCTTTCATTGCTTGTGAGATTTTCACTTGTGAGGTTGATATAATACTCAAAGCTTTGATAGAGGACGAGGATGTGAGTTATGGAAATTTTTCTCAATTTACTCCATCGTTTTTAATCTTGACTCTTACCAGATGTCTTGTTACTTTTGAGTGACAGTTGATGGACCTGCTTTTCTCATTTTTGGATCCTGAACGCCCCCATAGCACACAGTTAGCTGGCTACTTCGGCAAGGTAAGATTATTGGTGCTTGAGTTTAATATTTAGGAATTACGAGTAGTTTCATATAACATTTTGTCAAGGTGCAAAAGAATTTAAAGAAAATGAGGCTAAAAGGAAAGACCTTTATTTGTGGATCTGAATTACCTCTACATTAAGGTTGAACTATCAGTTTTTTGCTAAAATAAGTTTACATTTTTTCGCCAGTTGAATGTCATAATTGTCCTTTGCCAATGTCTTCCCATTTTTTCCTTTCTTGTCTTTGTTTGAGGGTCGATTTGGCAAGGTTGTTATGATTAGAGCTTTTCGAAAAGAGCTGTGACTAAAAAGCTGTTGATTGTTTGATACTTAAGTCGACTATTTGGCAACATAGCTAGGAAAGTGCTTTTGATTTGTTAATTCTACGTGTTACATAATTATTTAACTAAACATTATACATTAATTTTATATCTTATTTTTTTATAAATTAAATATAAAATCTATAAAATTAAATATTATAATTAAATTATCTTGTTACAATTATTTAAGTATGAATTGTATTATTTAAATTTCTTTTTAAAGATGCATTAAATATGACATTTTAACATGTGAAATATAATACATAGGAACTGCCATAATTTTGTGTCTTCTTGGATTTCATTTCTTAAATATTTTATCATGTAACATAAGAAAAGTTATAATAGATAAAATTAAGATAATAACATGTAACCCTTCAAAAAGAATCTTTAAATACAAATTAACGTAATACATTATTGTGTAGGACAACTTCGATATATATTACTAAATTTATAGCATAAATTTTATCTTTTTAGAAGTTTCATTAAATGCAGATTCCAGCTTCCCGTAAAAGCTGATTTATTTATTTTTGTGTGTGTTGGGGGGAGAGTGGGGGCTTCTCTAAAATAGCTAAAAAGGTGGTTTTTTGTTTAAGCACTTATTGACATTAGCCAACCATCCATTATTTTAATTAAAGTACTTTTTCCCTCAGGCTCAAAGAAGTACTTTTGGGCTTTTAAAAAGCCCTTCCAAACACACTGAATCTCAGTTGTTAGTTCACAACTACTAATCCTGTAACCGATATTTGTTCCTCCATCAAAATACTTAGCTGTCAAATGTTCATCGGTGCGTGATGGATTAAACAGCTTGGACCTTTGAAACTTATAGCTTGTTACCACTGTGCCTGTCTGAGGTTTGTTTAACTGTACAGCAGCTTCAGTTTCTGTCTAAAACAAAACTCTATCACGAACACTCAGTCGCTCAGCTTTCGATCCTAGCACATCCAGTAGTGCATTAATGCTATATGTATAATTGCTTAGGGATAATGGTATAGCATTTGTGTAACTTCATATTTAATATGTTTACAGTTGTGTAGACATTGATTTGAGTTTCTGCATGTCTATTGGTTTTGGAGAGAAATATCTTCTCCTTTGGAGTGGTGGTAGTGTCAGAGTAAGAGATTTGTTTTGTTAAACAAGAAATCAGGGAGGAGCAGCATTCAGTGGAAGACATGAAAATTGTTTTCATCATTTTGTTTTTGTTTGCTTATCGTCAAGGATGAACTTTAGACTTATAATACTTAGACTTTGTCACAGAATAACAGTGTTTTTGTCCTAGAATCCAAATTGTCATATCCTTTTCTGACATGTATATGTTACACTTTTGTTCTTTGTTCGTGTCTGATTATCATATGACTTATATTTGTAATACTTTTGACTTTGTCACAGAATAACAGTGTTTTTGTCGTAGAATCCAAAGTTGTCATATTCTTTTCTGCCATGTAGATGTTATACTTTTGTTCTTTGTTCATGTCTGATTATCGTATTTCAATGTCTCAGGTGGTTGTGTGTCTCTTGTTGCGGAAGACAATTCCTCTAGTGAATTACATACAGGTAGTGTCCAATACCTCGTATTAGTTAGTTTATGTATTTTTTGTCTGACTATGAGTTCAAGTGTTATATCTTATGGACCAATAACAGCTGTGGACCCAGGTACTATCTTATAGGTCTCCGTCAGAGTCGGCCTTGGAATTTTTGAGGCCTTAGGCGACCAACCATTACGAGACCCTTAAAAATACTTTTTTTAACAAGCCTTACAAACTTAAATATATAAATAAATAACAATAGTTAGCACTTAGCAACCATGTTTTAGTCTATTAGATGATTCCCAAATGCAAAAACAAAATGTCCATAATTAAGATCTTGAAACTCAATCTATAGAGACTTAAAACATGTGATTCATGAAAGAGAGAAAGAGTAGACATGCCTTGGGAAATGAGTTTTACACAAATTTAGACACATCAGATACCTCATTAATTATTTTGTAAACTCATAGCACCTCACAATTAGGTTTATCACTCGTGGCACTTCCAACTCATTATCTCTCTAACACGTGTATACATATATTTATGCTCTCTCTCTCTCTATACACACACACACACACACACGTACTACTTATCTCTCTATCTTTCTCTACATGCTCTCTTCACACTCCCACACTGCTCTCCACACACATACAATTCATATAACACTCATCTACTATCTAGACAATTCTACCAAAAATATCGGCCTTCTTACTTCTCTAGATTATTCGGCCAAGGCTGTGCAAGAGAGAACTTCAGAATGGCGGTGGTTGCTGCTCAAACCTGATTCTTCTAGTTTCTTCTAGCCATGGTCCATGGATGCATAATCTAGAAATAATGCTGGCTGAAGATGGACAACAAAAATATTCTGAATTGGAGGGGCCGTCCCTTCAACTTCAATTTCCTTTCCTTCCTGCAGCGTATCCTTTCCTTCCCTAACGCTTAACAGTTAACCCTTTTCTATTGGCGCTGGTATGCATTTTGAGGCCCTAGGCCAAAGCTATATTTTTGAGGCTCAGGCGTTTGCCTAGGTGGCTTGGCCTCAGGTCCGGCTCTAGTCTCCGTGTTTTAACTGTTTGATGGTATTATTTCTGTTGGAACTTTCAATAATTCAACTAATTTGGGCATTTTAACATGTCACTAGTTTATTCTTAACATTGACGAAAGGGCAGAATTATGTATCTTAGCGCTTGGGGCAATGACGCAGTTAGTGAGGTTCTAACCGAGGCACGTCTATTGCTGCTTGAAGACTATTTCAAAACCCCCTCTAAAGAAAGGGGAAAAATAAAATAAAGCTAAACGTTGGCATTAGAGGCGAGGGATATAGAAATACCTGGAGTGACCTTTTACTGGATCCTTAGAGGTCTGCCCGTCGGTACCTCGTTTAATTAAGGCTGCTCCTCTTTTGGGGGTCTTTTTGACTTGTAATTACTGAAAAGCTTGTTGGAAGTATATACCTTATAAAACCCGTGCACAAAAAAAGAAATAGGGAGTGCTGCATGTCTTTTTTCCTCCTTATGGATGGAGAGTGTCACTAGGAAACAAATTTTAGCTATAGCTTAGGTATCCTTTTCTTCTTCATGCACTATATACAGATTTTCCTTTTTCCATTGAATTATACCAGTGTTCAACATTTATTGTACCTCCTACTTTACTATACACTTTATTCTGTAGGAGCTGACATTTTCTTTTGATGTTCACTCAGGCTCATCAAGATATTATCAGGAAGCTTGTCGATCTCCTCAGAATTACATCTATTATGGAGGTTCGCTATTCAGATTTCTTCAATTTTCCCTTAATGTGGTAGCATCTGCTGAAAGTCCTAATTCATTTCTTGTTGAACAGGTTTTAATTCGTTTGATTGGTACTGATGAACATATACCTGGAAACTCTGTGGACTCAATGCAGTGGTTGGAAGATGTGAACGTGCTGGAAATGATTCTTGATAAGTTCAGCTCATCGGTATGTTGACAATCTTATATAACAATAAATAATATACTGTCTTCCAGCTTCAGCCATTGGTATTCGGTTATTTGGCTTTTGTGAGTGGAAGGGATGGATCCTGCCTGTTTTTGATTTATACTCATAATAATCGTCATGTCTAGGAAGGACGAGAAATATATGTGCATACGACTATGCATGTCATACCTTAATGGGTATTAAAGTTGCACAATTCTTTAAGGAATGAACTCAAGTATCAACCCTAAAAAATGCTATTTGAAGATTAAGTTATAGTTCTTAAGGCTTAAATCTTTATTAACCACAGAATTATTTTTCAAGTTTTTAATCTATGAAGATTAAATTCAAGTTTTGTATTGTTTTATTTCTTTTGGTGTTGTTTTATCATATATACTTGTGTCATTCGCAGGACTGCCCAAAAGTGCATGCTAATGCTGCAGAAACTCTGTGTTCAATAACTCGGTATGCTCCCCCGGGGCTAGCTTCAAAAATCTCCAGCCCAAGGTAACATTGGTTACTTCTCTAATTCCTTTTCATTTCCTAATTTACCCATTTTCTTATCTGGATTGAAATCTGACTGCTTTCACAGTTTTATAGGAAGATTGTTTCGTCATGCTTTGGAGGACTCACGACCAAAATCTGTATTGGTTAATGTGTTGTCCATTTGCATATCTTTGTTAGACCCCAAGAGGCTAACTTCAGTGACTTATTATATGTACAACCGCCAACTGGCTTATGGATCAGGAATCACTGCCAAACCTGAGACGGTAGGAGCCATGCTGGAGAGACTAGGTATGGTTGCTTGGGTTGATATGATTCCATGACAGATAGCTCCTGATATATCCCATCAGCATAGATAATAGATTAATAGTTGGTGCCTCCTAAAACTTTGTAGAACATGTTCACTCATCAGCTCATCTTAGATAATGGACTTGCTCATTTTGTTTGTGTGTTCCCAAGTACTTGTCAGTAAATCAAATGTGAATCTGAAGCTCATATTTCATTCTACAATCTGTGAGATATCGATGGGATCAGGAGGGCTTTCCAGGGGATGTGTGGGAAGTAGATAGATACATGGAATGCACAATCGGAAAAGAAAATACGGGCTTTGCATGTTTTTTTGGGGAAAAAATTGTTTTTATACTTATTCTTGTTAATCTTTTTCAAATAGCTTCCTCATTCCTCTCTCTCTCTCTCTCTCTCTCTCTCTCTTTGTAATGGTGCTATCTTCCTTTCTTCTCTCCATTTTTTTATTTAATTTTTTAATTTTTCTTTTTGAGTTCTGTTTATGATTGAAGTGGTAACTGCTTTTGTAATGCACTGTTACTTCATTTCAGTGCTCTTAATGGTGTTATTGGAAATCAGTTAGTGTTATGGCTTAAACATCTTGAAATAATGTTAGTAAGAATTTTTGTTACCTTCCTTCACATTCAAATCTATATATCTAATGACAACAATATGCCTGCTGTTTTTCTAGTTAGGAAGGAAAATAGGAAAAACAAAAGATGAGACAAATTAGTATATTAAAGAAAGAGAAATGCTTCAAATTGCCAAGTATTGAAGCTTCAGCAAAGACACTCCTTTCCTAGATTATTTTGTTATTGTGATACCATCAGCAATAAAAGCTTGTGGAATGTGCTAGTTGGCATGAAGACATTGAATTGATTTTATTCCGCAGGTGATCTCCTCAAGCTTTTGGATCTTTCATCTGACCATGTCTTGCTGACTACTTATGGCAAGTTGCAGCCTCCTCTTGGAATGCATCGTTTGAAGGTATAAGAAATTGATTTGCATATCTGTTAACGGTTAAAAATACATGATTGTGCTTCTTTGCACATTCATTCACTCTCTCATTCTCTCCCTCCGTTCATATTTAAAATCTTACTTTGATCAATGGCATGGATTGGTCAAATCTTATTGTGAAAAATGTATCTTTGCAGATTATAGAGTTCATTTCAGTCTTAGTGACTGCTAGTAGTGAAGTTGCAGAAAAGGAAATGATTCGATTGGGTGCTGTAAAACGTATTTTAGAATTCCTTTTTGGGTAAGTTTTCTACCCCAGTTTCAGGTTATGTTCACTTGTGGAAAACAAAATTTTGAGTACTCTAAATTGTATATCTTCTTATTGTAGGTATCCGTACAACAATTTCTTACATCATCATGTAGAACAAATGGTACTTTCTTGCTTGGAGAGCAAGAATGCTGAGTTTGTTGAACATCTACTTCATGATTGTAATCTTACTGGCAAGATTCTTGAAGCAGAAAAGAACTTCACATTGTCTGTTGATATAAACAGGGTAATTTTTATTATGTATCCTTGGTTAATCTAGATTTCTCCCATGCATATATTTTATATTATTTTTACTATACTTAATTCAATTTGTTTTATAGTGGCAAATTACATATTTTGTTCGATGTGTTTGAATTATAATGAAATTAATTTCGGTGAATATTCTTGCAGCCGACTGTCACTGCCGAGGGCAAATTGCCTCCCAGGATAGGGAATATTGGACATTTAACTCGTATTGCTAACAAACTTATTCAATTGGGGAATGACAACAAAGATGTACAGACAATTGTGCAGGTTCTTTTCATTGCTTGTGTTTTTCTTTTGGTGATAACTATCATCAATCATATTGTGTTTCATCATAACTAGTATGCAATCTCCACATCTAACCATCACCATATGGAAAAAGGTGTTCTATTATATGTATATTACAAAGCTCAACATGTATTGATTATTGGTTTGGTTTAGCTATTTTCTATTTTGACGCTAAAGACTTCCAGTTACTTTATTTGATTTTTTGTTTTTTGTCTGAATTGTATGGCTTAGTGGTTGCTTTTTTATAATTGATATTTGAGTGGATGCATTCATAGACAAGCTGATCTTAATGGCAGTAAGGAGGTGCAGAGAGAGTCATTTTACTTGAATAATTTGTGCTATTAAGGAAGTTCAAATTTTTTATTGGCAGGAAAATGGCGAGTGGGTTGAATGGCAGACAAATATTCTCCTTAAGCGCAATTTGGTGGAGAATGTCTTCCAATGGGCATGTGGGTGAGTGTTATACTTGATGTTTTGACTTGTTGCATTGGTGTGAGCAATGGATTTCCCCTTTTGGCTAGCCTGATTGATGTGGCACAATTGACTCTTCTGAATCCTTAGCTCACACATTATTGCGGATGTGTCAGCTTGTAACTTCTTGTCTTGTTTACTTTAATAGACTTCATTTCCAATTAAAAACTGTGGGCATTGCCACTTGCTTAAGGCTGACACAAACTTTCAATCTAGTTTGGCTTTCATGTCTGCATTGTGCCATCTCATCTGGATAGAGCAAGTTGAAGTCATGGATGGGGAAAGATTGAAGTGAAGGATAGTATTCAGGACTAACAGAATTTTTAGACTTCTCATCCTATGATGGAATCAACCTCTGACATTAAATTACTTTATTAAAATGAATGTCAAACACCCTTAACAAATTAGCCATCTAAATCCAGATGTCATAAATGAACTAGAATTTGGTTTGGTTAGATGTCAGATTCTTTTAGTTCATTTGTGACATCTGGATTTAGATGGCTAATTTATTAAGGGTGTTTCTTCATTTGTAGACTGGTAGAGAGTGATAAAGATTGATGGCCCCGAGCTTTGAGTTATGTCAGTGTGTTCTCGCCTTATGTTTTTCTCTGCTCCTGTTATATGATTCTCTTTGCAAATTATTGGCCACACTACATTTTGGTAGAAAAATCTAATCGTATTATGCTTGAAGATTGACCCAATTATTAAATTATAAGGGGGTGAAATAATAGATGTGGTGGTGCTTTTATTTATTCGATTTGTATGCATTTACTGTAATAGTTATGACGCAATTGAATAAGAACTAGACTTGTAGGAGGAGAGTTAGAGAGATAGGAGAGGGAATTAAAGAGAAATATTATCTTTATTCTAGGGCTAGACATGTTTCTGTTTGTTTCAATTTCTCTTTAAAACCGACCGAACTCGAATTTTCGGGTGTTAATTAAATGGAATCGTTGGGTCCAAATTTGATTATTCGGTTCCATTTCGTTCTGTTTGTTCAGTTCCATTCGATTCTCGAGTTTGGTACAATAATCAATTTTTTAATATTTACAACGCTACATTGATTCAACTAATGACGTGTTCAATTTTAGCTCTTACAAAATAATTTAGTCCAATCCTGCGATACTTTTGCATCTCTCTTTATTGAGTTTTGTTATAAATTTGACTATTAAAATCAAGGGAAGGTAACGAGCTCACAATAATGAAGAGAGGTGCAGCTGCACTTCCAATTTGATTTCTCCTGAATGGAAGAAACGGCACTACGGTGGAATGAGAGATTTGGATAAAATTTAGGTCAATTCGATTAAGTTGAGCTTATGCTTGGGCTGGATAATTAGAAATAGGAAAATTATATTTTGGGTTTAGGCTAAGTTACTTAGTTTAACAAATTTTTATTTAGAAAAAAATAATTTGACTTATTTAATATAGAAGAAATTAAAAAAAAAATTAGGAAGATTCGATTTTTATTCAGTTCTTAGTCTAGAATTGAGAACCAAACCAAACCCATCAGTTCTTCATTCAGATAGCTATTCAAGTATTTAATTTAAGAAGAACTGCTCTGTTTAGTTCGGTTTGGGTCCGTTGCAGTTCGGTTCAAGAGTTTTGTCCAGCCCTACTTTATCAATGATCATATTGTGTCTTACAATGAAAACCCCTCTCATACTAAAAATCCCTAACAAAACATGGAAAACTACCTAATAGTAATCATGGAAAGGAAATAAGTAAAATCAACTAAACAATTGCAAAATAACTTGTATTTCAATCTATGGCAACTTTCCCATAAACAATCTTTTTAATAATATCCCAAGGATCTCCATAAGGTTGTCAATGATCTTGTTTTCTGAAACTTTTTGAGTGCTTCTGTAATGCCTCAAATCTACTACACGCGCACACACACACACACATATATGTTATTTAAAATGAGGATTTGAAGTATTAACAAAATCTTTCTTATCTAATTTATACGGAATTTAACATTATTAAGTAAATATTGGGATTAGATCGATAATTTTTTATCTTTTTCAATTCAACAATTTAAATGAAAAATTGCACATCTAATTCAATCTTAAATACAAAGATTTAAATTTGTTAAATTGAACTCAACATGGGAATCAAGGAATAAAATAATGTGCACAAAATTTAACATAAATTTATTCTTAAAATAAAATTTACGATAATCATTTCTAAGATTTTGCTTGGCGGCCCTGTAAGCATGAGTCGATCAATCTTCCACCCGCCTTCACGACCCGTTCTAATATGACAAGTTGTTGTAAGAGAGTATTTTAAAAATATATGCATATTCTTATTAGCGTGATATAAATGTAAAATGACATAACATGCCGATATTTCTTAGGTTTAGAGCAACTGGTCGCGATATCCTATAAATTAGAGAATTTCTTAAGGATTCCTACATCCCATAGGATTTACATATTCTACCTAACGGTCCTCCCGTAGGATTTAACATATTTGACCTTACAGTCCATCCCGTAGAATTTAATATATAAATCGACCCGAAGGCCTTAGAGTATTTCATGCCAAATTCTATAAAAATATCAAGAAAATAAGAATTTACCACTTGCATAAAGTATTCCTACCTCAGTTGCTACCAACATATATGAAAATATAGCTTGTGAAAAAAATAAAAAATAAAATAATATATATATATATATATATTGTCCAAGTTTTGGGCCCAATTACATTACAAGAATTAAAATAATTTTATATTACAAGAATTATTGACTCACAAATAAAATTAGGTTAATAGTATATATATATATATATATATATATATATATATATTTTGCCACTACTATGCATGTAACTCACATAACTTAAATGGCATTTTTCATGTTAATGAGGTTAATGGAATTAATCATTATTGGTTAATGATTTTAATAAATTTTAAATCAATTTAAAGTGAATGTTATGTTTAGGTTTAAATTAATTTAATTACCTTTTCCAATTCCCTATAATCATACCATTGAAAGCTCCCTTTTTCTCAAATTATTATCATTGTTATTATTAATAATAAAATATTTGAGGATAATACTTTATTTTTCTGTTAGTATGCCTCGAGCATAACTAGTTCAAAATTACTTTTTCTTGAGTCCAAATTATATTATTTAGCATAAGCTACAAAATGAATATAATATCGATATATTTTTATCAACTTCTAAAATACTTAAATATTCAACCTAAATTATTTACCATAAATTCTAAAAAGTACACGCAAGTAAAATAAATCATTTATGCAAATAAGTAGGTCGCATCTATCACTTCAACTTTTGGACTTTAGTGTGACGACAAGACTGGGCATGGACTATTTCATTCCCTAAATGACTGCCATTAAATTTAGCACATGTAAAAATATAATTAAAATCCGGGGAGTTACAGCTTCAAATCAGCAATAACAGATACTTAGTTTCTACTTTATGTTGTTGAATTATTTTTTTTGTCATCTGCCGCAGGAGGCCGACTTCCCTACAGGATCGGACAAGGGATAGTGATGATGATGATTACCAAGATAGAGATTATGATGTTGCAGCTTTGGCTAATAACTTGAGCCAGGCCTTTCAATATGGAATCTATAGCGCTGAAGATATTGAACAGGTATGTAATGTACTCCATTGTTTACCCATTTTATCGAAGCATTGTTTTATTTTTGCACTTGAAAGAGAATAATAATATTTGGAGAATTAGTGAGTAGAAACTGGAATCTCTGTGTTTCAAAATTGAAGTTCACACTGGAACATTGAGTTAATGCTGAAATTTTTTGCGGTACGAAGATTTCTTGACCATGAAGTCTCAATTGGATTTCAATTGCTTCTTTGCTTGCAAACTTGGAAATAGGAAAATTATAATGGTTGGATATATAGTGGTAGTTTTTGAAGCTTTGATTTTGAAGTAGGGAAGTTTGGGTTATTGGTTTTGTGTCTGTACAGTATGAATTTTTGGTGGATGATTTCCGTATGCTTTCTTGTTTTTCAAGGGTGATAGGTGCTTTTCCGATTAAAAACCCTATAAAGGTCAATTTTGCACGGAGCAAGCAAAAATGATCTTTGTCAAGGGTTTTATCTTTGAAGCATGTTCTTTGAAACACAGAAGTGATAGTGTGTATCATATCTGTTTCACTGGATACACCACTTATTGTTATAATATAGAGTTATAGACCAATATATCATATATGGTGGTAGAGTTGTATAGTTTTAAATTTGATAGAAAAAAGGATAAAAAGAAAAGTAGAATGAAGGAAGATAAAGAACCGAGGTTACACTTCATTAATTAACCATTTAACCGTGAGAAGCTAGTGAAAGCTTTTATAAATTTTGAACCCCGAAAACTGTAAACTTGCCTTTGAATGTTTGCCATTTACATGGTGTTATTTGTTTTATAACAATCTCTCCCTGACATTTAAGATATTTTCATCTTTTATGTTATTTCACTTTCTCACTTACTGGTTTTTTACATTTTATGCTCAAGTTAAATGTATGTTTCAATAAGAAACTTATATTAAGTTCTATTTCAAAGTTTGTGAATGTGTCAAGTTGCCATGAATTTTTGAATTGTTGTGTTATCGAAGTCCTGTTTTAAGTGGAGCACATAAAAAAACAATTTCTTTACAACTGTTACAATTCAAAAGTTTTACTCATAAGTACCTATTTTTGTGTGAAAAGTAAACTTAAGAGCATGTTTTTTAAGCTTAAGCCAGACATGTGTGAGTCATACCAGTAGTAGATTGTCGTATGATTCTTTTGCATTTCAAGGAGGTTTAAGTTGTAATTTTTCACATTAATCTCCTTCAGTGTTTTGGTAGAACTCATGGCATATTTGGCCCTCATTTAATGCTTTGTTGCGCTTGACACAATTATTTAGGTGTAAGTTGCAAGGCATCATTTGTAATTTTTTAATCGCGCCCCTGGATGTGGCAATGCAAGTGTGAAATTGTTTGCAACATAAAGCCCTTATATTAGTCAGGCTAAGGATCAGAAGGATCAGATTTTGCTGCTTCGTCAACAATACCATATAATAAAGGGATAATTGCAACCACGATCCTAAATCTTTGAAACCTTTGCAGCTTTTACCTTAGCCTTTCATTTGTTGCACCCGTGGTTCTCAAACTATTTAATTGTGTGTGGTTGGAAGACAAATGGAAGGAATTTATACACTTCTCTGTTAGTTGACCCAAAAAATTAATTTTGACCACATTTTAACAATTTTTAAAAGGGTAGAATGGTAATTTTAATATTATTAAATAAAAATAAAAATAAAAAAGAAAAGAAGGAAAAATGAACTGAAACCTTCCTCCTCCTCCCCCATCCCTACCACCACCCTTATAGCCAAAAAAAAAAAAAAAAAAAAAAAAAAAAAAAAATCAACTTTCCACCATCGGCCATTCCCATCCCAAGTGCTGGCCCGATTCGGCCTCTGACCGTCCGTCCTGTCTCATCTGGATTTGGCTATCACTAATTAGTCGAATGAACCCATCTCTCTAGCCTCTCATTTGTTGGTCGATCCGGCTGAGGAATGGTTTTTAGCCAACGGTGACCGATTTTCAAAAAGCACCTTTGGGCTATGGTTTTTCTATCCTCTCTCTCACTTGAAGAAAGATAGCCAAGTAAGAAGTGTCAGCAATCCGTATAGTGCTATTCCTAGTACTTTGACTTGTAGGTAGAGCCTTTTTTTTGCCTTTGAGCCTTAGATAAATAACTTTACTGGATAAAACTAATAAAAAATAGGGGCTGAACTTTCAAATCCGGGGGCTTTGTCCCCAAAACTCCCCTCTCTCCCCTGTCCCTTACTCAGCCTTTGAAATGGAGTCTTTTGGATTTCACGTCATATCATCTATACCCGGATTGAGCATATCCAAGAAAGACATGTGGTTTCGATTGAAGAGCCAGGTCAGTAAACTTCTATTGATTATTGATTCGACTCTAGGGACTCCTAGCAGCAAACTTGTATAAAGGGCCCCCTTATTCATATTCGAGGAAGGCATGCCACACCAGGAACAGTTTGTGGAGAAGAAGTATTGTCAACTAGAGAAAGCTCTATCAACTCCCCGTCTAAAAGTGAGAAATCACACTTCTCCAAAAGTGATCCAATCACTTCGATTTGAGAGGGCACCTTTGAACAATTGATAACTGCGGCAAATGGCCTTTTAGGAGTTGAAACTGCCCCTACAAGATAGACCAGCTTCTAAATCAGAAAATTAAACCTTTTCAATTTGTAAAATGGTATTATGGTTGCCCGATAAATTATTGCTCAATCATTGGCATGAATTAGGAGTCGTCTAATTAAGAAAATCTAACCTTTTGTAAAAGGAAACTAGCCACTCAGGGCTTCTAGAATTTTGTAACTCCCTTGGTAGAGGGGTGTGCAGTACCAATGCATCGTTCACATATAGATCAGCTAATGACATGAGCTTCTTTGCAAACTCAGGCTCATTCTTTTCTTCCTTTTATGGTTGGACGGCAATGGCCGACTAGCGTTGGAAAGGCTGGTTTTCGTGGTTTGGTTGTGAGGGTAGGGTGGGGGTTAGGGAAGAAGGTTGAAGTATATTTTCCCTTCTCTCTTTTTTCTTTATTTCTTTATTCTTGATTTAATATTTTAATAGTTTATACGTGGGAGTATAAAATTACCATTCTACCCTGAAGATTTGAATAAATTGAAATCTTATTTCTCTTGGCTGAAAAGCCATGTATAAATACATAAGTAGATCTCTACAAATAAAGAAATAACTAATTTACGTCCTATCTAAATATACAACCAATCAATCATACTAATTTACCTCCTATCTAAATATACAATGAATCAATCATAACCAAATCAGATTTAATTATGACTGAAATAAGGAAATAATTGCTAACACACTCCCCCCTCAAGCTGGGCTGAAGATATTTTTCGTCCCAAGCTTGGAACTAAGGTCTTCGAATCCTTTCTGAGGTAGGGCCTTAGTGAGTATGTCTGCAACTTGGAAGTTGGTTGGTGTGTTGAAAAGTTTGATGACATTGTCTTCAATCTTCTCTTTAATGAAGTGACGATCAATCTCCATGTGTTTAGTTTTGTCATGAAGACTCGGGTTTTTAAATATGTTGATGGCTGATTGATTTTCACAAAAAAGCTTCATGGGTTCCTTGAATGGTACTTTGAGTTCTTCAAGAAGTCTTCTAATCCACATTCCTTCAAATATGCCTAGAGCCATAGCTCGAACCTCAGATTTAGCATTGCTTCTTGATACCACCAATTGTTTTTTGCTCCTCCAGGTGACTAGATTTCCTCACACATAGGTACAATAACTAGATGTAGATCTTCGGTCTGTGATCGAACCTGCCTAATCAGCATCACTGTAAATATACACCTCTCAGCTGGAGCCTTTGTTGAAGAATAACCCTTTACAGGTTAACTTCAAGTATCTCAGGATCCAGTTGACTGCCTCCATGTGTTCTTTTCTTGGGTCATTCAGGAATTGACTCACAACACTAACTGAAAAACTAATGTCTGGGCGAGTATGTGAGAGGTAGATGAGTCTGCCTACTAGCCTCTGATATCTTCTCTTATCCACTGGAACACTCATCTCTGCCATTCTTAGCCTTTTAATAGTCTCCATAGGAGTGTCCACTGGTTTGCATCCTAGCATTCCACAATCGTTGAGTAAATTTAAGACTACTTTCTTTGTGAAACAGAAATTTCTGTACTTGATTTGGCCACTTCCATTCTAAGGAAATATTTGAGATTTCCTAGATCTTTAATCTCAAATTTGTTAGCAAGAGTCTTCTTTAGCTCAACCATTTCATCTGTGAAGTAACCTGTAAATATCATCCATATACACTATTAAGACAGACATTTTACCTTCTAGTGATCTTTTCACGAATAAGGTATGATCAGCTTGGCACTAAGAATAGCCTTGAAGATTTACCACCTTTGTAAATCTGTTGAACCATGCCCTCGGTGATTGTTTAAGTCTACAGAGGGATCTTTTTAGTTTGCGGACTTTGTTTTGTGTGGCTTGATTTTCGAAACCTGGGGGAATCTTCATATACACTTCTTCTGTCAGGTCTTCGTTTAGGAATGCATTCTTCACATCTAACTGAAATAAGGGCCAGTCTAGGTTAGCAGCTAGAGACAGTAAAATTCTTATAGTGTTCAGTTTGGCAACAGGAGCTCTTGGTAATCAATACCGTAAGAATGAGTAAATCCTTTTGCCGCGAGTCGAGCTTTGTATCTATCAATACTCCCATCCTCTTTGTATTTCGCAGTGAAAATTCATTTGCATCCCACTGGATTCTTCTGTGGAGGCTTATCAGTGATTTCCCATGTTTGGTTCTTTTTCGGTGCTTGAATTTCATAAAAGCAGCTGCCTTCTACAATGGATCTTTGAGAGCTTCTTGGATACTAGTAGGGACCTGACATCCAAACTAGTAACAAAAGCACGGAATTTCTGTGAAAGACCCGAGTAAGACATATAGTTATGAAGTGGGTGTTGAGTGCATGATCTTACTCCTTTCCTTAGTGCAACTGGCCAACTCAAATCATCCTGACAAGGTTCACTATAAATTTCAGAATTAGTGTTACCTTCATTCCTTGGATTCGGATTGGACTCTTGGTTGTGTTCA